AGTTGGGGTTACTTTCTTGCCACCCCGTATCTCCATCTTATTTTGCAAGAACCCTACTCCTTCCTTCTTTTCAACCTTCTTATTTTCTCCTCTCCTTCCTCCCTTCCTTTTTTTCCTTCCTTCCTTTTCTTCTTCCCCTCTCTTTCCCCCACTCCTTCTCTCTTCTCCTCCTTCTTATCCTCTCCTACTCTTACTTCCCCCGTTTTGCCCTTCTTCTTGGCTTTCTGAACTCTTTTTGACTTGCCTGCTGATTTTGCTTGCAGCCTTGGTGCTCACAGTATTGGACTATTTGCAGCCACAGGCAACTGAGGTGTATGTATGTGTGTGTCATTCCTTGGCTCTGGGATTTGCCAGAAATGTGGGAGTATATGGGGGGAATTTGGAGCAATAAAGGGGCGGTTTGAAATGCCAGCTGCCTGTGTTGCCCCTGTGCCGTGCCCTGGGTCATCACATTTTGTTTCTCACCGGGTGAGAAGGCTAAGGAAATTATTGCTCAACAGAAAAATAAGTAAGGTGGAGCAATCAGAAGTTTTACAAAAACAGAATTTCCTTTCTCAAAATAATATAGATTTTAGAATTAAAAAGGTGTTCAAGACAAATACTTATTGCACATATCTGCATTCTGACTCTAAGTGCTCTTTACGAAAAACAAATTCTATTGGTTTTAGTAAACCTGATTTCCAAGCAATGGGGATGAGCATATTTAAGTTTCTCTCATCTAGTCTAAGTATCTTGGAAGTACCATAGACTCGGGTATCCTAATCATTTTCAAAACTGATTCAAAAGTCTTTCAATATTCTAAAATACAACCTCTCTAATACACTTCAGATACGTTGAAATACAGTCACCAATATAACGAGCTAGTATCGTGGCTCCCAAAAGACTTACCAATTGAGGATGATGGAAGCTGTAGTCCAACACTGCTGGATTTGGACCAGCTGTCTTATGACATGAGACTCAATAAAGAAACATGCCACTACATTTTTCTCATACATCGGTTTCAAGGTATTCCTCACTTCTCATTTTTTAAAACTAAGAACTATTTATTTGTCTTTTGACTGAATAGTGGGTTGTTACCTTTTGCAATTCTATCACATATTGGGCCACAATGAAGGCTGACATCACAGTGAAGTCTTCTGTTTTTGCAGCAATATAACTATACATCCGCTCCACCAACTGAGCACATTTCAATATATCTTCAAGTTCATCCACGGACCCTTGGAAAAGAAAATGAATTGAGATTTAATGTTGCATTGGATGGGAGGAGGAGAGGTAATTTGGTTTCATCCATCCCTCGGCAAATCATAGGAGCAAATATAGGTAGTCCTCAACTTACAACAGTTTATTTCAGCGACTGTTCAAACCTTTGGCACTGAAAAGTGTCACTTATGTCCGTTTTTCAAACTTATAACCATTGCAGCATCCCCATGATCATGAGATCAAAATTCAGTTGCTTGGCAACTGACTCATATTTATGACGGTAGCAGTGTCCCAGGGTCATGTGATCACTGGGGAAGCCAAATTCACTTAACAACCATGTTACTAATTTAACAACAGCAGTGATTCACTTAGCAACTGTGACAAGTTAACAAAATGGGACAAAATTCACTTACTATCTCAGTTAGCAACACAAATTTTGGGCTCAATTGTGGTCATAAGTTGAGGACTACCTGTAGACTGATGGTTATATGAAAGCTTTCTGTAAGCAGTTCCTCATAGTTCTGGGTCAGTTATAGGCTGCAGTAACACTTAATAATTATTTCCCGGCATGCTATTATGGGAAGGAAGAGTGTATACGTTTTAGGATGATATATGTATATAATTAGATCCTCTGTATTTTGTTCTTGTTGCTGAATTTATCCTCTTACATGTGTGCCTTCTGAAATGATGCTAGTAAGACTCAGCTCTGAAATGCAGAGGATGTAATAACAGACAGTAATTCAATATGGAAATACTTTAATTGCATCTAGACTTCTATAAGCCTTACACAGCAAAAATTAAAACATAAGTAATAGGAAATATTTAGGGAAAAATAATCACATTTACTGTTATGTTCATGCTTATTCTGTTCGGGGCAAATGGACTTGTGAGATGCAATAATTGGCATCCAAATAGTGTCTACGTCTTTCACCTTTCCCTAATGTATACCATTGACGGAAAGCACTGCGTGGTCTAGATAACTGTTGAATGAATATCCATAGGATTGGGTCAACATATTGAATGGGCTTTATTTCTAACGGGTGGTATTAAGATCACAGCTTTAGGTTCCAGTCATATACATGCTAAATAAGTGATGAATTCAATTCGAACCCAGTAAGACCTTCACGCAGAACAACTCAAATTTGGCTAGGTAGAGTCTTCCAGTGATGCAAAATCATTTTACAGTCAGGAGAGGACAGGAGTGCAGAACAAGATGAAAATGGAATATAAGACAATAGATGTCAAACCTTTGTCTCCTTTTTGTCTCCCTTCATGCATCACAGAAATAACCAATCGATGGAAACTGTTCAAAAAAGACGGAGCTGCTTTCAGCATCACCTGCATAATAAGTACATTGGTGTTAAAATGCAGAGATTCAAAAATCCATACTTAGAGTAAATAAGAGAGATTGAAGGCCAGGTTCAAAGCTATGTCTGGCTTTTGAAGTCTGGCTTTTGAGAATGCAGAAGGAATGGTCTTTTATTTAAGTATCTATAATCCATAATCATCTATCATCTATTCCAAACATCAGGACAGGGTCCTACCAACATGAAGCCACAATGGCAGCATCCACATACAGAAGGGGGGAAAAACATTTTGAAGAAATTCCAAGACATTTTTAAAAAAAATATTACAAGGGAGATAATACTCTAAAGCAGTGATGGCAAACCTTTTAGACATTGAGTGCCCAAACTGCACGCGTGTGCATGTCCAAACTGAAAGGTATGCATATGCAAACATGCATGTGGACATATGGACATGCGTGCATGCACAGCAGAGACCCAAATACCAGCTGACCAGGGGGAGGCGGGGCAACCCAACACCGACAGCACGGCAAGAGATAAGATCTTTTTCATTTGTGAGCTTCTGTTTTGGCGTTTTCAGGGAAACAGCTCACGAAAGAAACACCATTGAGATCTAACCTGGGGCAATGGTGCGCATGCCAGCAGAGAGGGCTCTGCATGCCATCTCTGGTATGCGTGCTGTAGGTTTGCCATCATAGCTCTAAAGAATGGAGCAGCAGTGATGAGGAACTGGAAAGCAGAGGAGATAAATACAAGATTGAGGCAGAAATGGAATCGACTTTATTGGTAGAAAAGGACAGAAATGATAAAAGCGTATGCAAAGAACCTTCACTTGTTGGGTTATGTCAATTTCTGGCTAACGTTGCAAACTATTTTAAAACATCCAAAAGATGGAAACAAGAGATTCCGACAGAAATGGATGAAAAGCACACATTATATTTAGATAGCTCTGACTCATTCTAAACTAATTCCTTAATAAGAATAGGAGGACCCTTTCTAAGACGAATTTCAAAACAAATGCAGTTTTTAAAGCAATTGTATTTTGGGATGAAGGGAAATGCCTTGAGAACTAGGTGATCATGTTTACAGCATCTTTTTTTTTTCAGATCCAGGATTGCTTCTGGGTTTTTTGAAATGTGCCAGGAACCCTGGGCATGTGAGAAGCTGTAAAGAGCAGGTTTAAAAGAGAAAGTAGCTCTGGTCAGAGTAAAAACAGCCTTTGTCTTAATCCCCATCCAATAGTTTCCATTAAACTGAACCCCCCCCCCCCAACTTTATCCAACCTGAAAGCCACCAACCTTCATTTTCATTTCTTTTTCCAAACTTGAGGTCAATGAACAATAGCATAAAAAGCCTAATGGGGAGGTATAAATCGTGTTTCCCCGAAAATAAGATAGGGTCTTATTTTCTTCTGCCCCCGAAATAAGCAATTGGCCTTATTTTCAGGGAGGTTTTATTATTTTTGAGGTGCAGGAGGCGACAAGAATGGTCACCTCATGGCTGCTGCTATGTTGCACCTGCTGTGGCAGCAAGGCCCGATGCTAGGCCTGGCGTTTTTTTTGCAGTGGCAATTAGCATGACAGAAGGGGTGCAGTGGCTAGGGTTGCGGGAGTGGCTGTTAGGTAAGGAAGTTTGGGGTGCGTGGGGCATGTTCCCCCTTGCCTTTCCCCTCCCCCTCTAGCCTCACCCTGTGTTATTTGCATGGCAAGCAACCAGAGGAACCAGCTGCGCGTGCGTTTAAACATTTTTGGGGAGGGCTTATTTTAGCGCATGCGCTCAAAAGTCCGATTGGGCTTATAACCCGGGGAGGTCTTGTTTTTGGGAAAACAGGGTAGTTTTATCCCTCAAATACTAGGTTGCTTTCATGTTTTTCAAGCCTGCTCCTTACCTTAGGATGACACTGCAGAATGGAAAAGAGCACTTCATGAATTCCCAGAAAGACGCTGCTGTACACCCTCTGGTCAAGAGGGACAGTCAAAAGAATATTAAAAACAAGAGCAACATGATGTGGGTTGGAGAGAATCCCTTCCCCGCATCTAAGCAGAAGAGCTGCTGCTTCCAGGATAGGCACAGCAAGAACAGGGAGCAGGACTGGATCTTGAGAAGCCTCTTTGATTTGCATCTACATCAGGAGAAAGGAAACACAAACAGTAGGACACACACTGTATGTGTTGAGGCATGCTTCTCCAGCCTCACAACCCCGTTTTCACATCACACGACTGCTAAGCCCTTTCCGGTATGGTTTTCTGCAAAGGCCGTAATGCCAATAAATCTGTGAATATCCACAATCTTTCCTTGCCACTGAAAATTTANCCCTTCCTACAAATTGTAAGCCGCCCTGAGTCCCCTCAGGGAAAAGGGCGGCCTATAAATGTCAAATAAATGAAAAAATAAATGAAATGAAATGAAATGTCCACATCAAATGTATAAACAGTAAAAAAACATAATAGAAGAGATAAAGCAATAGTAAAACTTCTACAAGGATATACAGGTAGTTGCTGACTTACAACAGTTCGTTTAGTGAACGCTCGAAGCTACAACAGCGCTGAAAAAAAGTGACTTATGATCTTTTTGTCACACTTACTGTACGATGGTTGAAATATGCTCATGGTCTCATGATCAAAAGTCAGGCGCTTGGTAACATTTATGACGGTTTTCAGTGTGCCGAGGTCATTTGCGCCCTTTCTGACAAGCAAAGTCAATGGGGAAGCCAAATTCATTTAACAGCTGTGTTACTAACTTAAGAACTGCAGTGATTCACTTAACAACTTTGGCAAGAAAGGTCATAAAATGGGACAAAATTCACTTAAGAAATGCCTCGCTTAGCAACAGAAATATTGGGCTCAATTGTGGTCGTAATTAGAGGACTACCTGTAAAATAATCAAATGGTTCAGTGATTAAAGTGTACCCTAGATATATTGCAAATATACAGGAAGTAGATCAGGATCTAGTAGTAGACCCCCTGGGTGATGTCAGATCCCACAACTGAGAAATTTTGGCAGAGGTGGACCCATTCTTACTCTTCAAAACCATGGGTCCTTATGAGCAAATAAGCTCGTATTGAGTCAATTACAATACTACATTCAAAACACGCCCAAATAAACCTTAAGTTAAGCACATTTTTTATTTAAAAAGACAACGTTAATCAGGATACTAAAACCTACTTGACCAATGTTCATTTTTTTCCTACGCAGGCATGGTTTAACCCTATTTGTATTATTGGATGAAACACTGAATAATGTGCATTAAATAATAACACTGCTATGGTCTTCCAAAGACATGGTTTTGCAGCATGAAAGATTGTTTTATAAAGTTTTGCAGACTATTGAACAATGATGCATCCAAGTATATACTCAGTCCAGGAACCGATCACTTCGAGAACCAACCTCTCTTTTTCTTTTCCTGAATATAAATCATTACTGGCCTTTTCTATCCCTCTTGGCTCTTTTTTTTAATAAATGTAACTTTGAAAGCAACCATTAATTGCTATGTTTCTCACACAGGAAAGCCAAAAGCCCTAGTCAGCCTACTCAAATCAAAAGGATTTACCAAGCAATCTTTCAATATTAAAACCAAATTTTAAATCTATCTATCCATCCATTCATCCATTTGTCCACACACACACACCCTTCTCCCACTGCAGAAATGCCTGAAATGATACATTTTGAAAAGAGTAGTTTTCAATAAATTTCATTGTCACCCTTTAAGGTCTAGAAAATATGTACCAACAACAACACTTAGACTTAGACTCCACTGTGCTTTACAGCTCTAAGTGGTTTACAGAGTCTGCATATTGTCTCTCAACAATCTGGGTCCTCATTTTACCAACCTCGGAAGGATGGAAGGCTGAATCAACCTTGAGTCAGTAAGAATCGAACTGCCGGCATCTGGCAGTTTGTGATATAGTCAACTAGTTAGGTCATCATCAAGATAGAAAATGTGCTTTCTGGTTGAGCTCTTTTAATTCCCCCTCCACCCTCTTGGCTTCTAATTCTCCTTGGGGTGGGGGGAGAGTTAGGGGATTCCTGAAAGTTTAGGGAAGAAGAGGAGGAATCTGCAATGTGTCATTTATGAACAAAATCTCTTTATCCATTCCTAGATTGTCAAGCCTGAAATCAAGATATTCAGTTGTGCCCTCATTTGTCTACCGAAGGACTCCTTCTAGATGGTTATATTGGGTCCATTACATTTTGTTTGATTAATTTTGGATTGGAAAAAAATATTCCCAAAACTAAGACTGCACTCATGTGGTTAGCAATTATCTGGGAAAGAATCCTACTAAGTACTTATCTAAGTCTACAAAATTCAATCAGGGGTTTTGGGGGGGCTTTTTGAACCGTCCGTTCCAGTACTAGTATTCCTCACCCCCTTTTATCTTTATCTGCTCAACTGAGAAATTCATTATGTATTTCTTTGTAATCCAAAATGTTCTCATGCAGTCCAAAAATTTATAATGGTAACATCACCAACACTAAAGATAACCCTGGGAATCAAACCTATTCTACATGACTCCTGGCCTGTTCCTTTTGAATTTTAGGACTGCAAGGCACTATCTGAGTAAAATGCCAGCTCTGGCAACATTTTCCTGCTGTGGCTGCCTCAAGAGGCAATCTTGCTATTTTTATCACCAAAAGTATTCCCTCCCTCCATGTGCCCAAACCCCGGATTAGTCTCATGCTGCCAGACATGTCATACTAACTTCCTAGGAACAGAAATTAAAGAAAGGGCTGTCATTAGCATTAAAGCTTTTTCTTTTCTTCTTCAGGCGAGTAATAAAATGTTTTTCTGATGAATTGAATTTCTAATTACTATGACGGCACAGTACGGGGGGGAAAAGGAATGTCAGTTTATCATCCAAGGTAGCTGTGAACCCATTCGTACTGTGAAAATGGTCCATTTTTCTTACAATTTTTAACAGTGATATCATCCATGTTAACATAAAACCATCTTTAAAACCAGCATAATGCTGGGTAAGGATTCTGTCGTTAAAGAGTCTTTAAAATAACGTATTTTATGGACTATAAGATGCACCGCTGTATAAGATGCACCAAGATTTCAAAGAGGTAAGTAAGAAAAAAAAGCTTTTGTCATCCCTGGCCCCCAGGAGCACTCTGCAAGCTTCAGCAGGGTTGGGGGAAGGCAAAAATGCCCTCGTTTTTGTGAAAAACAGGCAGAAAACAATGCCTCCGTTTTGGGGGGGGGTTGCAAAAATGGAGGCATTTTTGCCTTCCCCCAGCCCTGCTGAAGCCTGCAGTGTTGCTGTNAAATTTGAAGCAGCTGCTAAGCCTCTGAATTTTGATCACAGGATCATGGGGATGCTGCAAAGGTCATAACTGTGAAAAATGGTCATAAGTCACATTTTTCAGTGCCATTAAAACTTTGAACGGTCAGTAAATGAATTGTTTTACGTTGAGGATTGTATTTTTGATTGCTCTGGCTCTGGCCTATGCCAAGGACATAAGACTATGTATTGGAATGAAATTTAGAACTCTTCCACACAATCAGGTATTTTTGTTGTTATTTGTTCATTCACTAACTCATAACTGGTTTTCACAACCCCATGGACTGTGGCATGTCAGGCTCCCCTGTCTCCTGGAGTTTGCCCAAATTCATGTTCACTGCATCGATGATACTATCTAACCATTTCATTCTCTACTGTCCCCTTCTTTTGCCTTCAACCAAATCAGTTTTTACCCACATACAATTTATTCTTCAGCTGTTTCAAGACTGCACATTTGAGTCTAGGATTACTGGATGAGGGTTTTGTTTAGTTTTTAACCTGGACAAGCATCATGATTCCCCAAAAAGTTGCTTTCGGGTTGAATGACTGAATGGGCTTCAGACGAAGCAAATCGAGTGGTATGATATCATTTAATGATGCCATTTAATGATGTAATTTAATTCTCATTTGTGTGTTATTTTGCAAAAAATCAAGTAAATAAATATAATTATAGACATAAATATAGTGTAACCATATACAACCCAAATAAGCTAACCTCACTTTAAAAAGAAAACATTAAGGCAAGAAACAAGGCTTCTATTTTTTTTCATTCGTAGTTTTATTTCATAATGTAAGTTTCTTTTAACTAACCCTATTATGGGAATGACTTTAAAAAGACAAATTGGAATTGCAAAATAGGAAAGTAGTTCCATCCATAATATGCCTACATTCCATGCACATTATCTTATTATTTTCAGTTTCTTGGAGATTAATTGCTATCTCGTCTAGCAATATAACTACAACATAAACACACACAAAAAGAGTGTACAAAAAAAGAAGACATACGTTAAAATCTCTGGTATAGTTTTCCACCTTCCATCTTCTGTGCATTAGGTCGGTGTTTTACATCTTTTAAGATGTATGGACTTCATCTCCCAGAATTCCTCAGCCAGCATTTCCCAGTTCACATATCTTAAAATTGTTTTGAAAATACTGTACAGTATTGAAACTTCTGACCCCAGAGTGAACTGCTCCAAATGTTCTGGAAGTGATCTGATCCATGTGTGTGTGTGAGAGAGAGAGAGGGGTGGGTGGATGGGAGGGAGGGAGAGATGGAGGAACGGGCGCACACATGCGCGCGGGCCCACACAGAGGCTAAAAAAACAGAAGACAATGAGTTCTAGTCTCACTTTAGCCATGAAAG